TGCATGACTGATTTTTCTAATCCCCATAGACAGGAAATAATAAAGTGGTGACTACAGGTTGAAGGAAAGTAGTGGAGTAAAAGTACCAGTACTGAGCTAAAAATGTACTCAAGGAAAAGTATGAGTACACATTTTGAAAACTATTTAGTAAATTACAATTTCTAAGAAAAACTACTCGATTACAAAAATTTTTGTAATGTATTTGTAATGTTACTTTACACCACTGGTCCTCACTGATGTTGTATTAAATAAATCCATGTTCTGGGCTTGCATGCTGATTGTAGTATTTTAGTATGTTTTAGTATTTTAAAGGGCTCCTATTTTACCCCTTTTACCAGATGTAAGATGGTGTCTCCAGAATGTGTCTGTAAAGTTTCAGCTCATAATACCCATCAGATAATGTATTATAGCCTCCAGAATATGCCCATTTGGTGTCTAAGAACAGAATATCTGTTTTTGTAGTCTGTGGCTTTAATGCTAGTTCTCCCCAACCACCGTTTCCACTTGCATGTCTGTTTCTCCTGCATTACATCAGATAAACAGCAGTCAGTAATTGTAATGTTATGAACACTGACAAAGGACATGAGGATCCAAATGCAGGATTTGTTAAGAGAATGGACAGGCAAACAACGGTCATCACAGGAACAAACAGATGTATATAGGCAATCCAGAGTCAGGCGAATGGTCAGTACAGGCAGGAGGCAAACAACATAAACAAACAAACAAGGCGAGGGTCAAAACACGGCAAAGCAAGTGAAATGCGTCTAAATGTTCACAGTAACAGATGAACAAGACTTAGCCAAGATGTGTGTGTTTGTGCTGTATTTAAAGTCCCTGTAATCATTCTGTAACAATCCTCCACGTGTGGGTTTGTGTGTTTGTGTGTGTGTAATCAAACTGAAAGAAAAACAGCTGTATTCAAAGTGTATGGGGGAACTTGTAGTCCAAACGCCAGTGGATTTGTAGTTCTTTAGCGAACTGCATGTTTACCAATGATCTGCAGCCACTAGATCGCTGGTGATCATAACAGTGATAGAGACAGACACGGGTGAAGCTGAAATACAGCTCATGAGTCAAAAAGTTTATTTCAGGTATTTGAGGTGGAGTTTATTCAAGCCTTTCTGAAAGGATGAGTCACACACAAATGCCGTTTGCAGTACACACACACATATATTTATATGTGGGTTTACTGACATCATGCGGCCATGGTGATTATAGCAGTAAATAATTAGCTATTTTAATTTATAAAATTATAAAAATGACTTGGACATTTTAAACAAGTTTCTTTGCAAAATAAGTTCAGTGGACATGTGTGGTCATTTACACGGCGCCTATTAATCAATTCGGTGAGGGGGGAGAATGCACTTCTACGTCACGTTGCGGTGGGCCTCAAAATCACTGGGATTTGGGACCTATTTTTACTTCAGGAAATTAAAAAAAAAGAAGAGACTTGTTGTGTTTATATTACTCCAATATGACAGTGGACACTCTACCTACACACAGTTCTGTCCAAACAGCTTTCAAAAGTTGATTTTCATCATAGATGCCTTAAAACATGTTCTATATGCGAGGAATGTTTTACATTTAAATTACTTTCTTTTTAGCATACTTTCTGCCACAAATGTTTAATGGATATTAAAGGTTTTCATTAAACCATTGATGCTAAATAAAGAATCTTTACTTTTAAGAATGCACAGAATATTAACATTCTCAATCTAGAGACACACTGAAATGAATTTCCAATCTAATTTCTAATGAACACAATCAATAAATATCTAATTATGTTGATGTAACAATTGGGTATGCAAATGAAGAAATACCACATAACAAAAGATTTTACATGTGGAATAGATGCTAAATCTCACAGATTGAAATACAGCTGGCAGAAAATTGTCACCTTGGAATTATAAGGTTTTATCTGCATTCTGAGTGATTTTAAGATATTGAGCTTCAAAAAATTTTTTGCATTCCATATAGCAAACAGTATGTGTGTAACATTTGTTTTTTAAATAATAAGTCTTAAAATGCAAACAACTTATAAAAAAAAATCCCATAATGTAAATGAGTTGTAATTTAATAAGAATATGTGATTAACTCAATTTTGACAAAAATGTCAGATAAAACCTTAAAATTCTAAGGCGACGAAATGTCAGCTCTCTCACTCCCAATTTGGATCCTGTTCCGAATAAAATAGGTTGCATTCTGTAGGTCAGGGGATAGTTTTATGTGGTACACATGAGCTCGACTGATGGATGGATTTCCTTTGATGTAATATCATATACTAGATCTCTATGGTTTGTAATCTCTGTTAACTGCTGGCATTCTATCTGAAGTCTAGAAATGAACCCTGGGTCTGATGGTACTTTGAAGTGTTGCTGTAAAAATTCTGTCAGGATAACACCACCTGCCAAAAAGACAAAAACGTATTCATGTCCCTGTTATAAAATAAATAAATAAATACATTGAGGACATCAAGCGTACCATGCCAGCCCAAACAATCATCACTTAAGTTTTTGAGAGCTTTTAAAGTGTTGCCTGCAATTTGTTAGGACAATAAATCAAATTTTTTTCATAAAAAAATGTGTATGAAATATAGTGATTAAGAACTTGAATCAAACAATGTGCATCGGAAAAAGTGTAGCTGCTGCAAGCTCAGGAAGTACTTACGTTTCACTTTTCTTCTGTCTGTCTTCTCTCCCTGTATCTGGTGTCACTTCCGAATAAAAATTAACAGAACTACTCGTGTAATTATGTTCCCTCTACAATTTATTATTGATCAAACACGTCGGTGCTCTGCCAACACCATTAAATGTGCTCCATTTGAATTTGGGAGGCTAGACGATGTAATTTGATAGATAATACCTGTGAAACACCAGGCTGAAATTCAATTATTCATCTTTTAAGTATTGATCCATCATAATCCCTGTTCATGCAATTCAGTGGAAATACTTTGATCATTTGGATTTGTACAGTTCTGCAGCAATTCTCATGTTAGTGTGGATGATAAAACCACAACAACATTTTTACTTTCTACAAGGGGAAAAATCTAAACTCTCAGATGATCACTAAACTGTTCTAATACTACTAGTAGTTGGTCAGCAAGATCACAAACTGAAGTCATGTGAACATTTTATAATTACACACATCATAACCTAATGGAATAAAATTTAGCTCTAGGCTAAGATTTTGTATGGTTGTCATGTTTTTGTTCCCATGCAAGGGTTATTCCACAATCACCCGTTATGACAAAAACATGAATATTCCGTTTGGTGACAAACTTGTTTTTTGTGAATTACTTACGCAGTCCTTTCAGATTCCTGTCATTGTTTCAAGATCTGATCATGACTCATTTCTGGAGATTCATTTCACTTTTGCCCAGTTACCAGAAGTGTGTTCGTGTATACATCTTAAGTCTAGCCTAGTTAAGACAACAAAGTTTGTGGCCTTTGCATTTTTCAGAGCCTTTTTGTATAGCATTTTTAAAATGGAATACAAAACACAGTACTGTTATTTTCTCAGTGTAAACAACATCATGATTTGGTTAAAACAGTCATGCACATTGTGTAAAATCTCTAGGCATTTGAGAGTGATAACAAATATATATTGATAAACGGCAGATTATGGCATACTCAGTTTTTCTTCTTTTATATAAAAAGTAAAAATTGTGTCTACATGAAAACACAAACACATGCTATGAAGAGCTGTCGAGCACAAAGTGACTTCAAACAAAAGAGATAACAGAAGATTTCACTAGCTTATAAAGTGGTTTAGTTTCAGAAGACAAATGACAAAATGGCATACAAAAGGAGTAGTTTTTAAAACACCCATGTGTGCATGGAAAGGGTTTACAGCGGAGATGCCCAAACATGGGCCTGCGGACCATAGTTGGCCCATGGTAACTTTGATTTGGCCCACGGTCCCATCTGAGAAGAAAGGAAGAATGACAGGTATTTAATTATATAGATTTAGCAGATAATGCCATTTCTGATTTAACTTAACAATTTGTTGGTTTTATTGTTAAGCTTTAAAATCTAAATAAATAATACAATTGAAATTAAATATTGTAAATTAATCAGATTTTTTAAATGTAAATACTGTCACCTTGCAGGTAGAGGACAATGCACAAGACCTCATCAACTTGACTAGCATTTACAGCATTGAACTCCATTGTGATATAAAATTGTTTTTATTTTAATAAATTCATTATAAGATGTACAACTATACAATTCATTAGGTAATATTGTTAGTTATTTTTGCTTTTTTATTTTTGAATACTAATAAATAAATGTAATTAAAAAAATTGAAATAAACACTTAAAAATAAATACTGCTTTATTTACCTTCGTGCCACAACCCTCAACCAAGAATGTTTTTAGTCCTTAAAAAAAATGTTTGCCCACCTCTGGTCTACAGGACCCCATGTGTGCAAAGCTTAACATAGTTGTAGTCTGTATGTAAAACTTTTCAAAGTCATGAAGCAATATTTTTCATGTAAATGTACCCTAAATATCTTGTTTTTGAGTTGCAACATAGTATGATGCTACAGTATATCATAATAGTTGTAATGCCAACTAAACCAATCTGCAAGTGTTTGGGAGGAAAGTTGAATGATACAGTTTTTTTAAGTGTCCTTTATTCACTCTTATTTGTTCCAAACCTTTATGAGTTTCTTTCTTCCATTGAATGAAATTATATTTAGAAGAAATCAGGAATTCTGTAACCACTGACTTCCAATATATTCGTTCCTGCAATGAAAGTCAATGGTTACAGATTTTCAGATTTCTTTAAAATAGGGATGTCCCAATCAGGTTTTTTTTTTTTTTTTTTTTGCTCTCGAGTTCGTCATTTGAATGACTTCCATAATACATAAAAATCCTTTGTGACTGAATCGCCCATTCATTTATTCGCCAACTCTGAAGTTGTGTTCGTTTCTGTGCTCGTGGTTATTTTGCGACGCTCCCTAAGCTCTTTAAAGTTACCGCTGAGCGTGCTGTGGGGTGTGATAGGCTGCTTAAAGAAAGAAGCGTCGCCTTGTGTTCACAAGAGCCCGTGGTGCTGCTGGAGTTCACTCACTGTCTGCTAGCTCCAGCCAAAACGAACCCTTTTCCTTTTTTTTAAATTGTATTTATTTCATCCTACCATTGGATATGCCTTTTAAAAACAAGATGTAACTGGCCACCGAACAATTACATCCTCACTTGAATGAACCTACATGTTTTAAAGAGCCGGGATGAACATCACTGATGGAAGTTTATTGTGGCGAATGCTTTTAACTATGGTGTGCCGATGTGATTGTTTATTTTGCCCTCTATCCTTGGCGATGGGTCCCTAATTTTTGGGATTATTAATTCCGCGATTCTACAAGGAATCCTCGGCGATCGAAGAGGGAATTCTGCACAGCCAGGCAAACTACAGGGGATTTAAATCGGAGACGAGAAGAGAAGCAGGAAGAAAATTCATGTGGCGATTCTCTGCTTAACAATAAATCATTTTGGATTGCAGAATGAGCAAGGAAAGACCTAAGAGGAATATCATTCAGAAGAAATACGTAAGTGTTGATCTTTCGTATGCGGCTGATCTTAAGTTTGTTCGATGGTCTTTGTGTCGATGTGAAATGCGTAAACTTTGATCACGGATGGCTCTTGTTGTGCCAAGTCTGGCTTTGAAAACGAAATAAATGCATCACACTATGTTCACACCACTTCAATAGATTTAAAGGGCTTCCTCTGAAGTTCCAGGGACGCCTATTTTCTTTTGCTTTTACTCTGAAATCATCATTGGCGATGATTGTTTTGCACGACAGATGTAAGCTTGCAAAACTCGTTTGTAAACCTGGACGTGTTTTGTTTTGTTGTTGTTGGCAAACTCCAGTGTCAAATTAATGTTATTGTGATCAGAATGGCTTTGTTTGCTCTTCTATGCCTCAAGTCTCCAAGCGGCGAGGACAACCACATCGCCCTCTTTTATTCTGGGATCTGTTTTCACGAGCAGGATTCTGCAAAAAGACACAAGTCATAAAAACAACTGTCCCAACTCCCCTGGCATCACCCATTTGTTTATTTCGGATGTAACGTTCTTTAAGTGTAAGCAATGGGTTCTTTAATGTTCTCAAAGTAACTGTGCAAAGAAAGTATTTCCTCTGCCCTTGACGACAGAGGAGGCTTTAAATTGGTGGCAGATGTAAAGTTCATTTATTAAGATTCAGAAGAGAGGATTGTCCTCAGTCTTAACATATTAAAATGAATACACGACCTTAGTCATTAATATGGGGGATTGCTTTCCCTGAAAGACGTTTTTTTGTCTCCTTTAACTCGATGAGTCTCTGCACGTTTTAAGCTATATAAGCCATTAAATGCTTACCGATCGTAATATTACACACCAGATTTTATTAAGCACATGGGATGTCGTTTATAGAATATATCCAGTCGCATTGCAGAGGCTCGCGTGTAAAGCAAACGACCATTTTAACATTTCCTCTACGATAGGTTAGTGAACCGGCGAACTTGTAGAAATGTTGGAGAACTGGGCACTACATAAGGCTTGAACTTTTCTGGCTGGTGATTTACTTTACTCGGGAGCGGAATTAAGAAAGACTACCATAACAAAAGCCCGAGTCTCCTCAGAGACAGCCGACCAAACCTCTCTCGGTTAACCCTCAAAGAACTGCCTCCTTACCAGAGTTTCCAGGCGCTTTACCTGTAACGTTATTTAAGGAGTTTGTTTTTCGTAGTTTGCGAGACTGTTACATTTTTCAGTGTCCATGTTATCAACTAAGATCTTCTCAAATCAAGCTAACATTAAGAAATAATTTCCCTCCAGCGCGTGAAAGGGTTAGCTCGTGCAGCCAATTTTTGTCTGCTGTTGTGTGAAGTAGGTTTGTCACGTGCTCTCGATTATTTATAACTTTTCCTCCCTAAGAGTCACATTTGAGCTTAATCGCTAAATATCGATTTAAAATATGTTTTAGTGATTCGGTATTAATATTTAAGTTTTTATTTTCATCAGCAACAGGTTAGCGTGAGTAAAACCAACATGGCAAAGCTTTAAGGTTATGATGACGCAAAACGGGGGCAGTTTCCAAGCACGTTATCTGTGCCATTTATCCCTTTATGTAAAGGTTATGGAAATCGTTTTACTTTTTGTTGTTGTACTGTACTAGTGCAGCATCTCGTTGTCACGTTGGCTTACAAAAATGTGACGCAATTACAAATTTGTTGATTGACAAGGGAAATGAAAGTGATTACAACAGAAGTCTTGGGCCACGTGGTAGCTGTACTTCTTGAGAAGACTGATTCAGTTAAAACCCCTGTACTGGTAAAAGTTTAAAAGCCATCCTAAAATAACTTGACAAAGTGTTGTTCTGTTCTGTTTTTTTTTTTCACACAGATTGTCTGATTTATGAAAAATATTATTTAAGTCACTGCATTTTTGTTGGACATTTAAAAAAGGAAAAGTATTTGAGGAAAACATATTATGACAAGCACAGCTCTAATTATTTTGCTTGGACTCTTGTTTGGATTTATTTCTTTACTCTGTTGTATAAAGTTCTAAAGAAATGTCAAAGAAAATAACTGGTTAAAATGTGTGTTTTTTCTTTCTCCTTTTTGAAATACTGTTGTTTATAAAGTCTGACTTTCTGTTGCATCTCAGACTGGGGTCTGCTCTGTCTTGTATAGACCACACCTCATGCATGGTTAGGGTCATATGTAGGGTGTATAGAATGGACCTGAACCATTTCGAACATGGCTGTTTGTGTCACATCTGTGCAGTGCAGACAGCTGTGCTAAAATCTGGTCAGGCAAACAACAAAAACAACCTGAAGGATCTGTCCCCTGGGCCTGCACAACTCTTGGCCCCTTGCATTCTGCCTCCCCTTAATTAGCGTAAGACAATTATACATGCTTGGCTTAACCATATCCCCTGGAACATGAGTCCAAGGGACACCCCCCCCACCCCCGTTTTTTTTTATTGCCCCATTTTCGTTCACATGTGCTGTGAATATTATTAAAATTCATTTAGTGGAAAACGAGAGAGGGAGAAAAAAATATGATAATAGATGTTAATAAGAGCAAACAAGAAAATGCAATTAGACCATCCCTGATTGATAGACGTGTGTGAACAGCAGAAGGGGGGCAAGTAGGCACTTCTGCTTTCAGACGAGCCCCTTTAATGGCTTCTCTCAACGAGGTCGTCTTGACACTCTCTGAAGCAACTTCTCTGTATAATTATTTTTGAGGGTTGTTTTCAGAGAAAATAGTTATGCTGGTTTTGATTTTAGACTTTGGCTAATGAATGCAGCCGGAGCTTGCGTTTGTGTTCTTGTTCTGTTGAAGTGAACATGGCACATGGTGCGGGGGGGAACGGGGGTTACCCATGGCTATTCTTCCTCTCTCGTTCTCTCTATCCGACTCTCTCTCTCTCTTTCTCTCTCTCTCTCTCTCTCTCTCTCTCTGCAGGCCCAGCTGGGGTCGAACCCTGATTCATAGACGTGTGGTGAGATAGGCACAGCTGCTGTAGGGGCCTTTACAAATGTAAAGAAGCTGTCAGTGTTTGTTTCATCAGGCGTACAACTGATGAGGGCCAAGTTGAAAAATCCACAGCAGTGTGTGGCGCACAAAAAAGCTGGAAACAAAAATAGAGAGCAGGGCCAAGGCTCACAGAGCCCTCCCTCTGACCCCTTCCCCCGCTCAGAGTCCTCCAGCTTTACAATGTAAATGCAGGCACCTCGTCCATTTGTGAGGAGAAAGCTGCGAGGCTCTGCGTGTGAGAGATTGTATGTTTGTGTTTCAGCGCCTGCCACTAGCACCACTGCGCTTCATTTAACCCTGTGTTTTAATGCAAATGTTTTTTTTTTCTCTCCTGAATTCTCCAAGGATGTGACTTAGCAAAATTCATGGATCATACCTCAGGAGGCCAGCTGTTGTAAAAGGCCTGAGTTAATCTCGTGAGTTTGTTGGTAAACTGTGGTATTTGAGTCGACTAGAATCTAAATACTAAAAGAATCTAGAGTCTAAATAGATAAAAACACTTTTAATGAATCATAATAATAATCATTTTTATTTACAGTGCGAAATTCTCAGACCCAAAGCGCCAAAGCATACAGTAAGAAAGCAGAGTGATTAAAAAAAAAAATAACAGTAAAAACACCACAATAAGACAATAAAATATGAACAATACAATTGAATGATTAAATTGGTAAAAATAATCAACCTAAGTTAAAAGCAATGGTAAAAATGTGAGTCTTGAGTAGTTTCCTAAAACAGTTTAGAGAAGAGGCATTCATGATGCTGATGGGTAGACCCATAGCTTAGGCGCACTGTATGAACAAGCTCTACCACCCATGGTCTTTAATTTACAATGGTGCTGATGCACTGTAATCATAAAACAATAATAATGATAAAATAGTTTGAACCTATGCAGTGAAAATGTCATTTCATTATAAATGCATGGTGGATTATATAAATAGTGCTAAGATGACAGAAATACTTCTGAAAGGAGTTGTAAGCGCATAATTAACCACAGGTTAAATGGAGTAAACTGTTTTTGCAGGGGTATATGTATATATATCACATCAATATCAGTTAATTTAAATGTGTGTATGTGTCTTATGTGTCCCCCCTCCCCCCGTAAATTATAGGTGTTTATGAATCTACATTAAAGCAGTGGCTATGTGGGACTCTCTTGATGCCAGATCTGTTTGGCAGATAATAGCTGGCTTGAGTGTCTGTTTATAATTTTTTATAGTTATCCTTTGAATATTTTACAGGGAATTTTTTTCTTTCTTGGAGCAGCCTGCTAAAGTGCTCTGCCAAGAAATGATGCTTCACCTCACAATATCATTATGTGAATCTGGCCTGGTGCAGTTACAGATAGCGCTGCCGCTCTCTTTTTTTATGGCTGTTGCATCACCACAGTGCATTATGCAATGTGACCTTTCGCTTATCGACCTTTACAATCATATGTGATCCAACCTTCACAAGTGCTGAGCTCCTTGGTCAATGTGTGACTGCTTGCTTGGGGCTCACTCCCACATCAGCAAACATGCACAGGTTGTTACGTATGCGGATATGCCTATGTAATGCAAGGAATTTGCTCTGCTAACATAAAAACAGGTGCAGCAGTGCTTTGATAAGTGGTACGGCTTACGTGTTGTTTACGTGTTGAATTCTTCCCTTCCCTGCCTTTCATTCCTCTGCCCTGTACTTTGTATTATGATGAGATAAAAGGTCATAATATCAGATGGAGTTATTCCCGTGCAGTGTGGTGAGGGAGCTGTGGTGTATGATGCAAATAATGCTCTAGAGATGGCTTATCATGTGATTGAAGTCTGCATCAGCAGAGCTCCAATGTTAAAACAAATTTGGTTTCGAGATGTATTGTTTCAATTAAGAAAAAAAAAAAAAACATCTGTTAAGCTTTAGCCTGGGTCTTTAGGATAGTTCCAAACCAGTTTGAGTTTCTTTCTTTGTTTAAACACAAAGAAAGACATACTTGAGAATGTTAGAAAAAAAGTCATTGGCTGCGTCCGAAACTGCCTACTACTCAGTA